CATTTGCGGCAGCTTCTGGCCCCACAGCCCCTTCCACAGCCCCCACCACAACTCCATTTGCGGCAGCTTCTGGCCCCACAGCCCCTTCCACAGCCCCCACCGCAACTCCATTTGCAGCAGCTTCTGGCCCCACAGCCCCTTCCGCAGCCCCCACCGCAACTCCATTTGCGGCAGCTTCCGGCCTTGCAGCCCCTTCCACAGCCCCCACCGCAACTCCATTTGCGGCACCAGTGGCGGCGTCGTCGATTTCCTTCGGCGTGGGGCCTTCTGCGGTGGCTGCGGCGGATACTACCACCGCTACCACTGCCAGCGGTAGTCTTCCTGCGGCCTCGACCGCACCTGGCGTTGGTCTTCCTGCATCCCCACCGGCCTCAACCCCCACACCTGTAGCTTCTCCAAACGAGATCAAAACCGACTCCGCTCTGAGCGCTGTTAACTTCACAGGGAAGGCTCTCTCCAAGGTACTCGGCGCCTTCGACAAGCGCTTCTACAACGATCAAAATGACTTCATGGAGCTCTCGAAACATGTCGTGCTGCGGGACAGCCACCTGTTGGAGCGTAAGCTGGACCTCATTTCGATCTCCAACACGATCAAGGGAGCCCTCTCTTCCGTGAACACAAGCAAGTCAGTACTCCGAGAGTGCGTGGAGAAGCAAAAGATGATGGATCGTTTGCTGCAAGGGCTGGAGGAGGCGGTGGATCCGGCTTTTCAGCGTGTGGAGACGGCTTTGGCTCTTTCTGCCTCCGGCAACGATTCGGGTTTAGGAGTGCTTCGGAATGCGGATAGAACCCGATACACCGCCTTCCAACACGCAATTGGCATCTACGACGAGATGATGGGGCTGCGGAGCAGGCTAGATGTGGCAGTACGACAGCATCGGCAGGATTTCGAGGAGACGCGCGGGAAAGGTGAGGTGGATCGTGTGATGGGGCTCGTGTCGAATCAGCTGTCTGCGCTAGAGTCCTGCAGTGAGCTGGCGACTGCTTTGGAGAAAGAACTCGATAAACTCCTTGGAGCGACTTACACTGCATGAGCGGAGAGCATGCACACGTACATAAATGCAATGAATTATTTTTTAGACATAGATTAAGGTGAGCCCGAGCCACGACGAGAGGACGTTGCTTAGCATTAGTTTAGTAATGTAAGCATTTTAGAAAACAGATGAGGGAAAAGTCTTGAGTATCAGGTGTAAATATTACTGTTTGAATATAATACCAGGGGCATGATTGCAATAGACTAATAAAGCCGAAGGGATTATATAAACTGGTAAGGCGTGGAGGGTAATGAAAAGGGAGCTAAACCTATGATTCCAGAAAAAGGGAAATTTTTGAAAGTTCACTAAAGTATATAAGTTTAAGATGTAATCTTTGATTCGGTTTACTTAGCTGCATCGCCCTTTAGTTTTTTCCTGTATCGTGGCAGGAATTTATTGATAAAGAGATATTTACAGATTTCAATATAAAGTATTTAAGAGTAAATTAGACTTCAACATGTAGACTTTGCTTTTACGTGGTTCATATCTACTTCTTTTTATTGAACTAGAAAGCTTCACGTGTGTGAGGGTAGACAGTATTAGCGACGTTCATCAACTGATGTTTCAAAGGATTCTACGAAAAAGCTGAAAACATTCAAAAAAGCAAGTGTGATATGAAATTTAGAAATATAAAAAGTGCCGTCTTTACACCAAGTCCAGGATCTCGGCTAGAAAACACTGATGCTGCACCAGGTGTGTATTCTTCTTCTTCCACCAAAAACACTGTAGGCAGTTCTAGTTCTGGGCAATCGTCTTCAACTCCTTTGAAAAATATTCTCGTTAAACAAAAGCGAAATGATTGGTACTATATATCGTATGCTTGCCTTGCAGGGGCCTGTGGTGCTCTGTCAGCTGTGGTTGGCAAGCTGGCAGTGACTTCGACCAACGCACCAGAATTAGCGAATCATACTCTCAAAACACTAGACTATTATCACGCTTATTTACCTATTCCTGGAGTTTCCTCAGTAATTATGTCGAAGTGGATGGTATCTGCGCTTCCATTGGTGTTTCGCAGTATTTTTTTAATAACCAATGTTGTCCTTACAGGGCAGATGTGGTGCTTTTACCTAAAGGCGCTTTCGGTAGGTCCCACGCCTGTATGCCAAATCCTCAATACGGGAACTAATTTCGCCGTAAGTGCTTTTGTAGGAATCTTTTTTTTTCTAGAGGAGGTGAATGTAATGTGGGTGTGCGGTGCGCTGATGGTGTTTGTGGGTCTTGCACTCATCGTCATGGATCCTTCTGCCTCTCCGGCAAAATAGTATGACTTTATTTGCAATTAAACAGTATGCATCATAAGATATTTGTTTAAACTTCAAAAAAAGGGCTGAATCACTTATTCCAAAAGCAGTATCAAAGAAATAAAGTTAAAGGGTCTATTCATAAAGATATTTGAACTGCTTCTTTATATATTTGGGGAGAATATTCAAACAACCGTAATTATCAATAGGAAGCTGCTATCATGTTATGGACAAGAAGAAACAGGTGCACAAGGCGGCAGGAGTTCTTGTTTGGCTTGAATGTGTTCATTATAATTTCGAGTATCTGTTAACTTAGACGTTTTGTATTTAATTGACAGATACTTTTCATTTTGTGTGGATTTTATAGTACTGCCTCATTTTATTCTGATAACAGTTATTAGAGTGAAATTTTACATCAAGAACCTTTTATTTATCCCATATTTTACCTGGAGAGTGAGTGTGTTTAACATGGATTCAATTAGATTTTCACAAAATTAAGATATGTGAAGACTCCATAAAGTTTTAGTTATTCCAATGAATTGCTATTTTCCCTTTTGGCATCTTCAGGTTCATTTTGACTTCTTAAATTGTATTGTTAATGAAAGTTATAATATTTTTATGCTTTTTTTTTACAAAATGCATAGTACTCTATTGGATCTACTCTCAATCTCTTTAGGGGGGTTTGTTTGCTTGAAAAAATTAACATAAAGTAGTTCAGACTTTAGAGAATTAATTCTTTATGATGGACAACACTGACAGAACGCGTTTGTATATCCATAGAAGTCATTCTGCCCCAAGCCTATTGACCCATATGCTCGAACCAGTCAAGAGCGGTTTCTTGGATACTGGAGCAGAAGCATACGCATGCCAAACTATGTCACCTAATCTTAGAAATAGATTTAGCCTGATGAAAAGTAACATTCCTTCAACACCAGTTGTAGTGAACGATCATGCACCTTGCCAATTATCTACTAATGTTTCTCAAAATCATAAGCAGGACAATGAATCGGTTAATTTTATTCAGTGGAATACCCCGGTACTTCAAGTAAATTTCAGAGATTGGTATATCTACAATTTCTGCAACCTCTCAAACGTACGAACATTGTCCAGAATACAAACAATATGTGACCCTCTTGAGCCCATCGTGAAATTTTATTTTGTTTTCTGGAGTATCAGTGGTGAGACGGAGTTCTATATTGTGTCAATTCCAACGTTTATATGGATCGGATTTCCCTTAGCCGCGTTGGAGGTTGCATCCATGCTCTGCGTGACACAGTACCTAACCGGTACTCTCAAGGACCTCTGCTGCTGCCCACGCCCACCATGCCCACCACTGAGTATGCGTGGGAGGCATAAGACACACAGCACGGAGTATGGGTTTCCAAGCACACACTCTAGTAATGGTGTCATCTTTAGCTATTTCATTTATCGCCAGTTGCACCATCACATACCAAGACTAAAATATCTGTGGTTGTTCGTTGCCCTTTTATTCTCCATCAATGTAAGCTACTCAAGGCTTTACCTAGGCATGCACTGGATCGGGGATGTCATAGGAGGATGGCTTGTCGCAATTCTGTGTGTTCTAAACCATACACTTTATTTAAATTACCTTGAATACAAGTTAGTGAATATGAATAATCCTCCTTGGTGGTGCTATCTTTTAGTTTATGTAGTAATTCATATCCTTGCCATTATCCACGCTACTCCACATGACCCATGCCAATGCTACCTCGATAGCTTGCGCTTTTTAGGTGTGACGATGGGCGCTCTTTATGGGTTTTGGATCTTTAAATCCGTGTATGGCACCCTCACAGCACGAACATTTTCTGGAAACATTTTAAATTTTCTCATGTCCTATAGGTTCTGGTTGCAGTGGGCTGTGTGTATTGTAATGGTGATAATTTCAAAAGAGCTGTCTGCTCTTTTAGGAATTATAGTTCTTAAACGAGTATTTAAATTTTTGTCTGGTGCCTACGCGGGTGCATTCCCACCGCGCGTGCGCCGTGTTTATCTTATTTTTGCGCTACTGGTAGGCTATACTACCCGTGGTCGCTTACGTAGGCCTTGTTTTACTACTCTGCAAAATTCTACGGCTATGAATTTAGTAAATGAATTCCAGACCCCACAGGAACAAGAAAACGTCGTTATGCTATGTGAAATCAGTCAGGGCGGGGATTGCAATGGTGACCTGACTTGCATTTCGTCCCATAGTAATGAAGCTGGCACTACTACGGTGGTGTTAGCCGCTAGGGAGCAGCAGCAGCAGCAAAATGTTGGAAAGGCCGAGTGTTCAAACCAGGCAGAGCGTCTTTCACCTAACGAAGATGAGGGATATCTCAACGAATACCAGGTGTGGTCTTTGCGTACTCACAAGCACTGGTGGCTTTGGGAGGCTCACAAATATACCTTTTCATATGCTGTGATGGGGTTTGTTGTAGTATACATTTCTCAAGTACTTCTTATAAAAGTTTTCAAAATTAAGTAAGTAGAAATTAGACTTCACAGGAAAAATCTGTATACCTGAACAAGCGCGCACCAATTTTATGATATAAACTTATTTAAGTTTGCACTTACTTTCCACTATATTTTTTCGCATATGCTTACGCACATATATTAAAAACCAAGTTAATCAATTCTTCAATGTCCCAGTTTTAAGTCTTAATTTACATGAGTCTATGCTTAAATCAAGTTTTCTTGAAATAACGTGAGAAGAGAAAACATATAATCCAACCTCAAATCAAAACATTAGCTTCTGTTCTTTATAACATTATATGAAGCAACATCATTATTGTTTTATGTAGGAGTTATTTCCTTTAAAATTAGAATAAATGTAAGATGCTGTAAAACCGTTTTCTAATTTATGGAATATAAATCTTTATCGAGGGATATATATATAAATATATAAATAAATAATATATATGTATATATATATATATATATGTATATATATATATATAGATAATGCATCTTTCATTCGTTGCTCAGATTCAATATTTTTTTGTTGTTTAATCTTTCGCATATTTTATTTTTAATTTCCTTGATGAACTGGAGTAGTGATTGAAGTGACACTTCTTAAAGGAAATGAGAAATAAGAAGACAACAACAAAGATTAAAAAAGGAAAAAATCACCGATGTTTGTTTCATTATCGAACTATTAGCGGATTCCATTTCAACTTCCCTGTTTCTTTTTTATTTCTGATTTTACCAAACACGATTTCATATTTTAACTCGTATAAGAGCTTAAAAATAGGATGTCCCTCTGTGTCACAAAATTTCGCCTGGCGTCACGCGGGAAGGGCTACCACAACCGTGTGATGGTGTATGCCCACCGTCGACATAAGGCCTTTTACATGCCCCCTAAGAAAGCGCATGGAAACAGTCCACTTGCCAACAAAGAGCCTGAGGAATACGGCAATACATGGGATGCTCGGTGTGGGATTGAGTGGTATTATCGCATTCATCGGCGTAATCACTACCGCCACTGGCCGTGGGTGCGTTGGACCGATGACCCGATCCGCTTTCATTCAAACCTTATCAACCGCCGAACGGTTTCCGCAATGGATGAGGGGACAAATGAGGGGGTACCGGAGTGGAACTACTATGAGGAGGTCGGACAGAATTATGAGACGCCTTCACACTTTCCGTTGACCTACATCGGACATTTTATTCACCAATATACCGGCAAAGTCTGGTCCCACAATCGGATTCGTGAGTACTTGGAGGTGATCCAGACCGAAACGAAGCTTCGCACGATACAGGATGTCGCACAACACTTGCCAGATTTATGGACATGGGGAGAGCGGCAAGCCAACTTTTCTGGACTTTCAATAGAGACTCATGATGATAGTGCTCGAAGCATGCCAGTGGTGATGGTACCGCATAGTTTTCTACAGCATGTTGAACTAGTTGTCGCGGATATTGTAAAACAAAATCAAAGGAAACAATACCGTGAGGAGCAGCACATGTCTGGTGTGCTTCGTACGCGTGATATGGAGAGGTATTATGCTCTTCCCAATCTGAAAGGGCCTAGTATGCCAGAGAAGCTGAAGCAGCCATCAGGCGAGTACCCATGGGGTAAGTACACTTATATGAAAGAGCCAGTGAAAATTCATCCACTCCAGCTACCGGATCTTCGTTATAAGCGAAACATGTACCCCCTTTAGTTCGTCGTTCATGTTTCTTTTCTTTTGCTCTTTTCCTTGGTAAATTCTGTTATGGATATATTATCCACCACTGATCCACAAAAGGCTATTATTTCCATAGTGTGGATACAGTATATTTGTCTGAGGCAAATTGTATATTCAAGGTAAAATGAACTCACAGGTTCATGGTTATTCTGAATTGATGGTTACAGTATATATGTGGTATTGTAATAAGTTCAAAATTTTCAGAGAATATCAAAATAAGAGAGAAGTTCATTCTCAATATGTTTTTACCGTTCTTTTATCATGTGCTAGAAGGCAAACTCAAAAAATTATTGACATTGTTTATTATATTAATATTATTACACTTCCTTTTTTCATCATCACGTAAAGAGTCCACACAGTTTAATTAGAATTTATCAAAATTCTAATTTTTGTGTAATATTTCATCAACGACAACTTTGCCCGACAATCAGCTTAATTTCATAGTTACAAACACTGTTATCCGAAGAGGGAGAAGCAAATGTGGAGCTTTGTGAATGATGTTAAAAGTAAAATAATAGAAACTATTGCGCCTCCTCCACAACAAAGGGAAAATCAGTGCAAAGTCAAAGAGACGGAAAACCATTCTCTTGATTCTAGAACAGACAATGCGGCATTCTTTAGTGGCTCCTCTGAGGTTCAGTATGCTATGGATACCATCACCAACGGCATTTTATCTGCATGGGGGAACGTCAATATGACGGCATCGAACATTCTTCAGAACGTCTTCTCTAATGATAACTCAGCAGAGAACTTAGAGGTGGAACTTCCTGAATTATTCCGGATGAATCACACCAGTTGCGAGGCTCTGACTCCAGACCAACTCCTCTCATTGATATCCGAGGCTATCCGATTCACCGCTGTGCGCTCGAACGCGATCCTTGCCAAGGCTCGATTCTTGCTTGAACTAGGCGTAGAGGAGGGAATCACCCATACTAGTGACTTCATAAGCTGTTATAAGTTCTGGGACGAAGTCGTCAATCAGCGTCTGCAAGTTTGCTCAGACTTCCTCCAGCGTCACTTCCCTTGCGTTGAAAATGAAATCAATAGTCATGCACGTAATCTAGAACTCGAAATCCAATCAATCTTAGGAGAATCAATTAGCTTAATGAAATCAGTCGCTACAAGAGGACATTTGCTTGAGAATGAGCGCTTTGATGCATTGAAGAGCTTCACTTTGAGCTCAAATATTAGTAAAGTAGTCAATCCACACAGCTCCACTTTACCCATACTAAACTTAAATCCTCCATCTCAAAATATGGTTGCAACACTGGATCTAAACTTTGAAAGGCGACCGCCAGAGGGTGAAGGCAATCCATCTTCACAAGAAATTCTTAATTGTTTAGAATCTTCCTCACCAAATCGCGATACATCTAAAATGCAACAACAAAAACCTGAGATGAGCAAAGTAAAAGTTGCCGTGGTATCGCAGCGACCGAAATCACCGCCACTGTTCCGGCCTTTACTAAATAAACAAGCACCGTCTCATGTACGTTTGACAACGGATTTCATATCCTTGACTCCAGAAAGTTGCGAATTTCCATCAGATTACGTGCCTCAATTTACCCCTTTCAGGCTATCCCAGGCCTCTCCATGCAAAGTCATGGCATCAAGTGATGATAACGTAGAGCATCAAACAGTCTTAGAACATCACAACAACGAGTTTCTGCAGGAGGAGAGACTGGCCCTTGAAGCTGAGAAGGAGCGTCTGCAGGAGGAGGAGAGACTGGCCCTTGAGGCTGAGAAGGAGTGTCTGCAGGAGGAGGAGAGACTGGCCCTTGAGGCTGAGAAGGAGTGTCTGCAGGAGGAGGAGAGACTGGCCCTTGAGCTGAGAAGGAGCGTCTGCAG